AGAGAGAGAGAGAGAGAGAGAGAGAGAGAGAGAGAGAGAGAGAGAGAGAGAGAGAGAGAGAGAGAGAGAGAGAGGATCTCGTTGCAAATTTATATCTTTATGCATTATGTTTTATGTATTTTGATTTTTGCGTTGTTTTTCGTTCGAAATTCGAAGATTTTTTGCGTAAATTTAAATAATCTATGAAAATGCGCGTGTATAAAATGTTGAAATTAGGATCACGTAATTTCCATGGAGAGTGCTCTCTGTTCCTATATCCGTCCCAATCCCTGGACGTCCATCCCATTTTCAATTTCCACCACGTTTCTCGTTTCCTGCTCCTGGCCCAGCTCTCATCATGGTGGATGCGCCGTTCTATTGGCCATTCCACAGCTAACTGCTTCACGCTCGTTTAAAACCTTCCAGACTGTGGAAGGAGCATTTCATTCACGAAAAATCGTATAGTTCTTCTAGTGTGTATATTTATATATACATATATTAAATTAAATTTCTTTCCTTGTCAGTGAATTTCAACTTTTTATCAACGACGTGTCAAAATATAAATACAGTAAGATTATAATTTTGAATTATATTAGTATCTGTGTACATAGTTAAGAAAAAAGAAAACCGATAGGTGTAAAGATGTTTTAACGGAATCAATATTGAATTAATTCAAAAATAATATATTCGAAAAAAAATTCCGAATAATTCTAAAAACACCTTCCCGGATGAATGAGATATCTCAAACCTAACCTAATCTCGCGACAATTAACCGGGCACCGTCATACTTACACGATTCAACGATGGAGGAAGTGTAGGTAATCTAGGTCGCGTATTTATCATAGCGAAGGTTGAAGAGAGCAACTGACACGTTCCAATCTCGATCTGGCGATTACAATTGACCGGCAGACACCACGGTACACATCAAAAAGTATGGTGAAAACGTAATCTAGGCGACGCATCTACCGATTTAACGACGATTTAAAGAGGAATAAATCCGTGCTTGAAGGGAAAAGGAAGAGGCGAGGGAGCAGGAGGTGGCGCGTGGCTCACGCCACAACGATGGATCACGATGCCCCGGGAAAAACTAGACTAGGCGTTTTTATGGGCCATCAAATTACGCCGACCACCTCATAAAATGTTTAAGCGGGCTCCTGTGCAAGACGTTCAACCGGTGACTGGGCTAATGTCCTTTGGCGAAAGTGCATCCTTACGTCTCCTATACCATGATACCATGCCCTTTACCATTTCATCTCTTTTCTATCGTGTCACTTTTCTCGATCACTTTCATATTTTTCCATCCTCTTGTAAATTTCACCTCCTTAAGAACGTTCAATGTGGTCGATGTGGATTGCTGGTTGGATCTGTAGATGCAAAGGTTTTTTTTATGAAGAAAAATGTAGAAATGGAACTACAATTAAGATAGCATAAGAATTTACATAGATAATATCATTATCATATTGTATATTTTGGATATTCAAATTTGTTATAAAAGTTTTGCAGTCTATGTACAGATATCTATGGAACAGAATGACCGATGAAAATGAAAACACGCATATTATTCACTTGTAAAGGACAAAAAACATTAATCAAAATTCAACAAATTTTTATATCATAAACAAGAATCTTGAAATAGAACAGTGTAATAGTGTAGTTTTCGCATAGTTCCCCGAATTGATGTCAATATATGAACTCTTAACGTATCAAAATAGTGTGCAAACAGAAAAACTCCTTTGTAAAAAAATTTTAATCGAATCAATATTCGAACACACTTGCGAACTGTTTGATCCCATCACTAGCCATGGACATCGTCCATTGAACCGTCGAAGAGAAGAAATCGAAAAGTCAGCGAAGCGATACCAGTTTGTCAAGTTGCATTGAAATAGAGACATCACCGATGAATCCGTCGGTAACAAAGAGCGGCTCGCGGAAAAGGACAATCGACGTAAGACAGAAATGGAAAATGGCGGGAATAGAGAAGAGTCCCTTTTGGCTTTGACTTTTGTTAATTCAATGTCCGCGAGGTTGTGAACGAGCGCATAAACGTTTTCTCACAAACGCGTGGGCTACAGGCGTCGTTAATATCGCGTGACAAGAATAAACGTCGGCCATAATTCAATATTGTAATTATACCCTCGTAACCGGCTTTATTGTGCCGATTAATATGCGTCGTTAAAGTAATTGCCGGTAGCGTGGACTATATCTCTCGCACCTATAATCGTTTAGCCGACTTAGAAGACTCCTCGACACGCGATTCCCAATTTCAGGACTTCGCGAGCATTGAATAAAGATTAATCGATTCGAGAATCGAAGTTGTCCAAAAGTTGCACGCACGTTTCTGTTCACGTTGGTTTGGTTAGGTTAGGTTCATTGATATTGGAACACAACAGGAAATGATTCTATGAAGAATCCAGAATTCTAAGAATTTGGCGATAAATTCGGTAAATTGGACATTCTATCTTCTGAATTGCATCACTTTTAAAATATTGGATAAGTGTGGAAGACGTAAACTCTCTTTCTCTCTCTCTCTCTTTAACTTAATAATTTTAAAAATATTCGTTAGACGTAATGTATCGATATTTTCATTATTACAATGAAAACGGGAAACTGTGTCTCCTAATATTGCGTGACAATTTTATCAAACATTACTAGATAATTTCTGCTAGGTAAAAAAAATTTCTGGTCGATCCATTGCAACAGATATATTAATGTCGAGAACGAATATATCCGCCCACCATACGAATATGTCCGCTTAAAGGGTTAACAAAGAAAGCCAATCGGCTCTCTTCGCGCTCCATTCGAAAGGACGAACATAATTTCCTTTACGACCAATTAGTAGATCCAGAAACACATCTACGCCATTCAACCTTAAAGAGGAAGAAGAAAGAAGCAGAAAAGGCGGAGAGAGGTGGAGAAATTTGTGGTAATCTCTTGAAACGCGTTCCAAATTCTTGGTTTTCGGAATTTTTGCCCGATGAGAGTTAAGGTGGAACCTCGAAAACGGGCCAAATTGAGGTATATATAATCAGCCAGCTGCATGAGGTGGGTGGTCTCCATGTGAATCTCGTTTAAAATGACCGCCGCGTCATGAGAACGTGAAGAGGCTTCGTACCGACTTCTTTCTTTTTCTTTTTTTTTTTTGTTGCCAACTTGAGAGGACTTTGAGGGGAATTGATAATTGCGGATGTCGAATACCGCAAATTTTTCTTATAGGTCTTCTTTGATCTTTTTAGCGTCCTGATTTTTGATTGTGTAACTAGAAATAGAAGTTTTAGATTATTTAAGGGTTAAGATAAAGAATAAAGAGGTTTGGAAATTTTTTAATGGATGGTAATTTTGCAGTTAATAATAATAAAGTTAGGTATTCAAAGAATTAATACAGGTTTGATATTTTGAAACTTAGAAATATTCTAATCAATTTTCCAATAAAATTTAATATTTTCAAATTTTTATTCGTTCTCTTCATTTTTAGATATTAGGATTATTAGGTGTTAAAAAATTCCGAATTGAAAACTTTGGAAATTTTTTAATAAGTCTAATTTTAACTGTAATAGTTTTTGGAAAATAATACATTTTTCAATTCTCACAAAATTTCACTCAACTTCCTACACATGATTTCACTTTACTATCCTAAAATAATCTACATCCACTTTTTCCTTTTCTATAATTTAAGAAAAAAAATCGTTCTTCGTCACGCTACTTTAACTCTTTATCTTTATCGAGACGATAAAATTCATTATTTATAATACACGGTATATTATAGAATTAAAAGAACACTGTTTGGACAAATTAATTTCAATTTATCTAAAATCACGGAAGAATTACTATAAACATAAATTTTTTTGTATGCAATGTTTTTAAAATCAACTAATTTGTTTGTAAACTTGAACGTTTTAAGAAATTTTCAAATTATATTATTTTTAAATTTTTTTTTAAAATTATTTTAGAAATAATTTTTTTAAATATCACAAATATTTTATAAATATAATTTAAAGATTTATTTAAAATTTTATGAAATAAATCATTCGTAATTTGATTTCAGTTAAAATAACTAATTTCTTAATATATAATAATACAGATATATTAGATTTATATTAGATACGATATTACTATTATTATATACTTAATACAATTATTACTATATTTATTATTCGATATTCTGAAAATTATTTCATTAATTTTTCATTAAGAAATTCATTAAGAAAAAAATATTATTTTATTATTAATTATTATTAATTTGTTATTCTTACATATATTTTTATCACAAATTTTTTGAATTAAATAAACAACATAACCTCAATTGAAATATGTTAGTTATCAAATGATAAATATTTTTCTTTAAAAAATAATATTTTTAAATAAATTTTGTTCAAGTTTACCTGTTTTCCACGAACATTCATGAAACTTAGATGGTATCTTATTAAACAGCCGACAAAGTAGCCGAGTAACAAACTACTCGAATAATATTTCACGAATAACAAAGTAAAAAATCGACGATGGCAATTAATTAACGAACGGTGTCCTTCTTTTCCTATAAGAGACCAGTAGAGGTCTTTCTCTCGTTGACCTTGAGGAAACCGCAGAATTATTAAGATCTCGAGATTCTTACGAGTTGAAGTGTCTGGTCGTAAAATTGCCAACTTTGAGATTTATACTGGTACTGGAACGAATGTTTACAGTTTTCATCAATTTGGTTGAAATGATACAGTAAAACTTCATTTATCGAAACGAAACTTTTATCAATAGTTAATTAAATAAAAACTAATTGAAATCTTTATTATTTGAACACCTAATGGTAAGCATCGCTTCAATTATATAAATGAACACTTATAAACAAAAATAAGCACGTAATGTAATAGGTTAATTCAAAATATAATAGGTAATTCACTACATAATTCAAAAAATAAGTTAAACGTACGATTGAATCCACTTATCGGAATCTAACCTTTATATTGGGACATAAATTAAATAAATAATATATTTTTGTCTATATTTATTTATCACAATTAACACTAATCTTGTTTTAATATTATAATATTACTTTTTTTTTCTAACGTCGCACGCACTTTTCGATCGTCTTCCATGACACATTTACTCGTTTTTTCATCTATATCTTACTCATCATACGTTCCTACGATCATGCACGGTCTCGTTCAATTTGTATTGTTACCTATCGAACGTATACATAGGGAAATTTTTTTCTCCAATTCAACTAATTCTACTAATTATTATATAATATATATAAAATATAAAAATTCTTATTATCTTTTATATAAATACATTTGAATTAAGGACGGTTCCTATTTATTTTTTTGATATATTTGTATAGAGGATTAATAATCCATACCGAACATTATTAAAAACAGATCATCCAATCAAATATTTCCTTATTCGAATAACAGTTTTGATTTCGATAAAACTTTCGATTATCCTATCAATCCACAAATAACGTAAGAAGAACGGAAATAAATAGATTACGTATATAGGGAAATTAAAATTTCTAACGAATTAAAACGAAAATAAAAGTCTGTTTCATCATTCGATGAAAGTTAATAAGATTTTCACCCATGTTCTCTCATTTGATTAACCTAATTTTTCGATTTCGACAACAAATTTCTTATTATCGTATCTAATCTATATCTAAACAACAAACAATTCGATAACTATAATTACTTAATAAGATCTATTCATCTAATCGAATATTTTTTCATTCCAATAATAACACTTTCGATGAAACGAATAAATATGCAGCCAAAGGAACAAGAACTGTCAATCGAGTTTCCTTAAACGATTACAATGTTACGGTGATGCGTATGACGAAAGAGGAGGAGCGGTCACGAGCGGAATCCGCGCGAAGCACAGCTGCAAGAAATGCACACCTATAGGTACTGAGCATTGGTGGACCATAAAATGATCGTAAAAACTTAATTTTACGAGAAGCATAATATATTTGCCACCACCCAACACCGTCGCCGCCGCCGAATCGACGAAGAGAGCCGAGTTAACCAGGGTGGAATTTCGTAGATGAACGACCGAATCCGCGATATCAAAATGATAGAAATATAGAAATATAAATTTGATGAAAAATAATAAACTTTTATTTGGAGGCGTGTACAACTTTAACGAAAAATCCTAAAAAAGATTTCTTTTTTGAAATTATATTTTCCTCGAGAGAATTAAAAGATGTTGGGAAAAAAAAAGAAATAAATAAATAAAATATCTTTTCTTTTGAAGATCTAGGAAAAATAGTTTTTTTTTTTTATAATTTTCTTCGAGAATTCTGAAAATGCAGAAATTAAATGGATATCCTTACAATGTTTAAACAAGATTCTAAATTTCATTTGAAATTTTATAATTTAGAATATTCTTGATATTAATTCTGTTTTAATATCTTTCACGATTTCTTAAACTTTCAAAGGTTCCGTACATACCGAATTAAAAAACAAGAAAACTTTCCACACTTTCACTGCTCGAATCAAGGCAACACTGAAACATATCTCTCGACACGAAGTTCGTCGACACATCACAAGCCACTCACTCCATTAGCAATCACCTAGTCCAGCTTTTATCGTGGTGGCCACTTCGAGCCACCGTATAACGAACACGTCCTCGAGAAGCACGATATAAACTGTGAGATCGGGCAAACAGGTCGAACGACAAGGGTCAAATGAATCCGGTGGAACATCGCCTTTCCCTCTCGGGGAGGGTTGCACAGCTTTCTCCTCGTATGAAAAAATTCTTGGGCCCCGGATTCGAGCAGATTTCACTGAAAATTCGTTGGAAAGTTTGGAAAAAAAAAAGTTTCTTCGTGAAAGTTTGGAAACTGTATTCTCAAAATAATTTAACTCTTTGCACTTGTATCGACTAATTTTAATGGATTAATAAGTCGAAGTTAGTAGAGTTCAGATATTCTGAAACAAAGAAATCTTATTATTAAATCTCATCAAACAAGATTATTATACATTCGACGTTAAACATCGTAATACTTTTCATTTTTATAATATTTAATATAAGAATTCAAACTACGAATATACAGTATATATAAATGGAACTTATATCCATGGTATCAAGCCTCCAATCTCTCCAATCCCTTAACCACGTTCCTGCACCCTTCCTCTAAAATTTATCGCCAAATTCCTTCGTATCTGGTGTAGGCTGGCGAGGCGATACACGCGAAAATACCGCAACGTTTGAAACTCGGCCATTGATCGTCGTCGAGCCAACGTTCATCCCCCTTCAGACCAAAATCTCGGTGATTGTTTAAGAAAAGTTTTTACGACCAAAGGGGGATATTTCCTTAAATCTCTAAGTGCTTGGATCGGCGACAATTCTTTTTGTTTTTTTTTTTTGTTTATTTCTCCCCTCTTTTCTTCCTTCTCCAATTCTTTCATTTCGAAAACCGACCATTTCCGTTTTCCTTTTTTGTCCCTTCTTGCACCCCTTCCTCCCCCTTACACATATGTCATATACACATATTTTTCTTCAGGTGAAATCTTGTTCGAGGAAAAACGAGGTGCGCGCGTGCCTTTTCCCTCGGGCTACGTTCTATAAATAATTCAGCTAAAATAATATGATCCCCTCAGTTGGTACAGTCTCTTGGCCTTTTCCTTAGCATTCAATCCTGGCTTTCACCGGCGGGCGTAAACAAGCATGGCCGCGGCGTGGAATTAAGTTTGATGATGGTAGAAGAGGGAACGTGACTGCTTTGTTCAAAGTTTCTTTCGGTTTATTTCTCCTTTTGAAGAATTAGGAGAAATGATATTTGTTAAGGATATTTATATAGAAAAATCTTAATCTTTCTCTTTGTTTCTCCCTTACAATTTGGTGGAACGATATTTCAAAGATAGAATTTAATCCTTTCCTTCTTTACCTCTTCTTCTTCTTTGAATCCGGAGAAACGTCCTATCCTAAAAATAGAATTGTATTAGTATTATATTTCTCTCTTTACCTCTCCCTTGCAATTTGGAGAAATGTTATTTGAAGATAGAACTGTATATCTTAGAAATAGTTATATTTACACATCAAGTTGTATCACAATTGTAACTCTCACAATTGTTTTGACACAATTAATGAAAAATTACGTAATAAAACTTCTAAATAGAAGAAATATCCGTTATCACAAAGAATCACAAAAAAAAGAAAGAGATACGATACAAAATTTCCCCTTCCAAAATACACGATAATTCGACCAAAAAACGCGGCATCCCCGAATAAAGATAAAAGCGGCCGAAATTCCGGGCGATTAAAATGCAAAAACGCTCAACATTGTAACTTCGGTTATAACCAATCCTTGTCCACCATCAAGTCCCTTATCGAGTCTCTCCTCTCTTTTCTTTTTTCCCAGAAAATTTCTTTCCTCCATCACGGGAGGACTTTATCTCGAGACGATAGGAGGATGCAAAACAGTGTCGCGAAAAACAACCTGTACCTATGTATACCGAGATCGAAGCGACGGATGAAGAAAGACGGATGAACGGGCGGAAGGGAGAAGAGAGTATTTTGGGTTGAGACTTCGTCTGATGAGGACGGTTCCCATGACGACGCAACCCCAGGAACACGAAACGGTCTAGCCATCCTTGACTCGATACCAGTTGGCTGTCATATATATTAAGCTTGCCAACAGTATACCATAATATACATATATACATAATGCACACGATATAAATAAAATTCCCTTATTTTTACCATTGAATTGTTCGAGCTTGAGCTTACATTCTTATCTGTGAAAGAATTTTTCTACTATAACATGGTGAGATATTATTAACACTATATATATAATTATATAGATACTATATTTTTGTTTAAAAATAGCACCTATGCAAGTATTACCTTATTGCAATCTGTCTTGCTTCTTGACATCAAGTTGTAATAATTTTGTATCCCTTTCTACTGAAAAGTATTATATCTTTTATCACTTAAAAAAGTACTATATATATATTTTCAATAAAAATTTGGCAATTATGTACTCACGCGAGAATCGAGGCTGACCACACTATTTCTTATGGCCCCCTCTTTTGCCTCCTCCGCTTTCACGTCCCTGGCCAAATGGAATATCCCACGCTTATACTTTGTTCCATCTGCGGATCCATATCGTGCGTCCGAGCGTGTATAAGTGTATAGGTGAGAGATGGAGTGAACAGAGTGGAATACAAACGATCGAGCGCGAAAAGAAAAGAAAAGAGAAGAGAAGGAGAAAAAAAGAGAAGGAAGGAAGGAAAGAAAAAGCACGAGTCGACTCGAAATTGCTGCATTAGGGGAGTCGGTGGACGTGTTGTTCGCCTTTTGCGAGATTCGTTTCCTGGGGAAGGGCGAACGTGAGCGAGATAAATTGGCTTCTGGTTAAACGTTGGGCTTTATTTGCTTGTTCGTTCTTGTTTGTTTGTTTGTTTAATCGAGGCCGATGATCAATTGGTGCTCGTGATAACTGAATGACTGAAATCCTGTGTTGAATTGGAAAAAAAGAAATGTATGAATATGTGTTTATATTATAATGATAATATATCTATTTATCTATTATCTAAAAATATTGGAAAACCTGAGGTATTATGATAATATTTATTATTTTGATATATGAAATTAAATAAATATTTTTAATAATCAAAGGAACAACAAAAATTTAGAATTAATAAATTTGATTTGGTTTTAGTAATTGTAGTGATTGTCGTTTAAATGATTAAATATCTACATCTAAATTTATATCTGTCTACTTTTATACAATACCAATTTTATTTAATAATCAAATAATTAAAATAACAAATATACAAGTAAATGGACGAGTTTCAAATTTCGTCAATTGTCTCGACTTGAAATATACGATTATGTATTTTACAACTCTTATCTTAATAAACTTCTCACTAAAAATCGATATCGAGCAATCAATCCTTTTATCACTTGACTGAGAATATAGGTATCACGTGACTTTTCACCTTCGAAAATATCACACAGCGATAATAAAAAAAAAAAAAAAGAATTCTTCGTCTCCTTATCTCGAAAAGGCGGTTTCTTTCAAAGGTGGCCAACTTAACAATAAAGAAAAAAATGCTACGATGGTGGTTGGAGATAGATATCTTAATCGGTATTAAACTATACCGTTTTGAAATCTCATTTAAAAGATTTCGAAAGGCTAATCTGTGTATGCTCCACCCAGTAATTTATTTCAAGACTGAGAACCATCCAAGCTGTAAAAGAAACCATGGATTTAGGCCAGGATAAGGTTAAGTGGAGCAT